GTGGTTTCAACTTCTGCTAACCAACTTTTGACCCTGAGGAGTTGCCAAGAATGCTTTGTATCATGATGATAGACTCTTTATCTACTTCATGATGCATAATGTTCGGGTCAACCTGCCTCAAATCATTTTCAACCATCTAAAGAATTATGTTGAAATCTCCAGAAGTCAGCATAAGTCTTTTATTATGTACGGAAGAATTTTGTCTGAGCTGTTCTTCAAGGCTGAAATCATTGGTTTAGCCAAAATACTCGGACCAAAAAATGTTGTGGTTGAAGAAAGGTGTGAAAGTGTTGATAAGGTGGAGGATTTTTAATGGTTGGTGGGCGGGTGTTCTTGTTGTTCTTTCAAAATATGTCTTCTCATTTATTTTGATTAACTGTTTTGCGTGTCTGTCTGTCATTTGTTTGGTTGATTTGAAAGTTATCTTGTATTGCTCCTTACTTATGTACTTGCGCCTCTGACGTTATTATCTTTAATCAATGAAATTTATCTTTTGATTGCATCTGTTCATCTTATTGATTGCTGACAAAGGAGGAGAAGTGTTGATATACCTAACTTCTCTTTTAATTACCTTTTTGATTATGACAAAAAGGGGGAGTATTAATTGGAAAAATTATTTTGATAAATATATCTTGTTCTATGAATCACAATTCTGACATTCTAACATTATTTGCACATAATTTCTTCTTAGAATTTCTTTTCAGGAACGATATTGAAATTTGGTAAACATGACTAACTGATGCATATGATAAGAACCAGACTTGAACCATTTCAGATCTTATAAATACCAATCAGGCTCTGGTATATAATCAGGCTCTGTTATTCTGAATCTAATAAGATATTTATAATCAGGCTATGGTATCCCAAATCTGATAAGATTTTTAAGTCTTAGATTCAGGGGGGCTTGATAAAGGGAAGTTATTTCTAAACTTATCTATGTCACTTCCTTTTGATATTATTTGTATGAAATTTTTTCAATAAAATACATTGTTTTGTCATTATCAAAAAGGGGGATATTGTTAGTACAAGATTTGGTTCTACTCATTATCTCTAAGTTTTGATAATAACAAAATAGTATTTGTGTGAGAATAATTTTGGTACTCTAACGTTTGATATTCTGAAGTTTTAACAAACAGGTTCTGACTCTGATAGAGACCATATACAATGACAATCTGGTTACTGAAAGTCGCTTCTGCGCCAAAGAAGCAAGTCCGCTTCTGATCTAGTCACATTCAAAAAAATTCTAAGAAGACAATATGTTGCTGTTGCAATGTTCTCTTGGTTTCTGCCTCTAAGCGTGAATCTGATGTTTCACTTCTGAAGGCTTTCTAGCTTCTGAAGTTGTTATGTTCTGAAGACTAAGTGTTGAAGACTCTGAAGACAAATTTCTGCTGAACAAAGTTCTGAAGACTCAAGTTTATGAAGACCAAGGGTTCTGAAGACTGACTGCTAAAAGTTCTGAAGACAAAGTTCTTTGAAGACTCAAGTTTCTGAAGATCAAGAGTTCTGAAGATTGAGTGCTAAAAGTTCTGAAGACAAGGTTCTGGTGAACATGTTCTGAAGACTCAAGACTCTGAAAACCCTGTGATCAACTCTTGTACACATGCTTCAATCATCTCTATTCAGAAGCCTCTGATGTACAGAAGATAAGATCAAAAGTTTACGAGGAAAAATAGTACGTATCAAAATGTTCCATTCCACTACCCTAATTTAGTGGTACAAATGATAACTTTTGTGTACGATTTTCATCTCTGCGTAACGACATTCTTTCAAGTCGCCAACTCACTCAAGGATATTCCTGATGTGCCCTTCAACGGATCTTTTATTGGCTATATAAGGACTTGACCACTTGAAGAAAAGAAACAACAAAGAGATATAAGAACAGTAGTGAAGAAATACAACACAACACAAGAATAATATTCATACTGTGTAAATTTTCTTTAAATCTTTTGTGATATCCATAGTGTTTATATCTGCTTGTATAGAAGCAATTCATTGTAAACATTTATTTTTTCAAACAGTTGTTTGTAATTCCTTAAGGGACCAAATGGGTCAGAATCCTTAAGAACAGACAATTAGTCTTTGTTGTTAGTCACCAGCAGTTGCTAGTGCAAATTGTAATCAGTTGGTTATAGTGGATTAAGTCCTTGTGTATAAGGCAAAATCACCTTGACGGGTGGACTGGCTTAGCTTGATAGTTTTCAAGTGAACCAGGATATATCGTGTGTCTTTCTCTCTCGTTAGTATCTTTATGATCTTTGTTTGAGTTTCACAAAAAGCTTTCATTTTTAAAAACTCAATTCAAACCCCCCTTTCTTGTGTTTTCTCACACCTTCAGGTTTGTGCTCCTTTCGTTCGTTCAAATCCTTAGAATACAAGGCTGGTTGAACTTCTTCCAAGGTCAGAGACCTTCTTCAGTACAAGAGAGTTTCTTTGAAGTCGACATGTGATCTGGGAAAAGTACACAACAACAACAACAACGCTTGATCTTCATCCTGATCATGACATCAATATTTTCAAGATCAAGAATCAGCTTGTTAAACATATCTAACTGCTCATCCAGAACCTTGTCTTCACTCATCTTGGATGAATACAGAGCTTGCTTCAGGTAGAGGCGATTGACCAACGATTTGGTCGTGTACAAACTTTCCAGTTTCACTCATAACCCAGACGTCATCGTCTTCTTCGAAACCTATATAAGAACCTTATCACCAAGACTCAATAAGATGGCGATGTGGGCTTTCTCTACCATAGTCGTTTTTTCTTTGTCCGTTAACATAGCGTCCATGGTTGTGGCTCCCTTCAACGCTTATAAACAACGCTAGTGAACTAGTAGGACTTTCATCTTCAAGCGCCATAGACCGAAATCGTTCACTCTTGTGAACTTTTTCAATCTCATACTTTGTTGACGACATCTTCTCCACGCTCACTGCACCAATTTGTTGTGAAAAACAATACCAGAATAACAAAGTATAATCGATTTCTTAATCAGCAAGAAATCCACAAGGATAGAAAAAAGAGGGAAACATGAAGAACACAATGAAATTGGTTATAAACTGATATTCTTTACTTTCTCTTTGAAAGAAGATTGCAAGTGTTACAAAATAACAAATAACCTATTTGGCCCTGATTAGGGTTTGCACCACACCCCAAAGATGAGAGACTAACGTGTTATTTATAAGAAAATTAACATACTAACCTAATGAGCTTTTACACACAAACTCATTACACAAGCTAACTTAGGGAACAAATTAACTTAAATAATTGGGCTTACAACCAAGACCCAATTCGACATGCTAACACTCCTAGCATACTTTGACTATACATCATATGAACAAACTTAGGCGACATGCTAAGATTCTTTCGAATTGTTGAACCAAGAAGCTACCCTTCGACCATACTAGAGTTTGATCCAATATCTCACAAAATAAGAAAAACATAAACACTACCAGATGATTCTGAACACTTCAGTATCTTCATTATGTCATCAATAGATCTTGAAATCTTAACATCTAACTCGGTCGACTCATTTTACGGCGAAATGATCTCCACATATCATTCACATCTTCGTCGATCTTCAACTCAATAAGGTTTTATTTCACCCTCCCATCAGTATCAATCCAATCTTGACGAAACTCAATCTTTCTCACCTTTTTATTTTTGACATCAGACAACAATTCATTCAACTTGGACGTCAAGTCGGCAAGAGATGTGGTGTCATCCAAAAGCCGAAACTCTATAGGAGGTGAAACTCCGTTGAAGTACACTTCTGCCTTAATCAAAAATTGAAGATACATTTTTTTAGATGTTTTTAACATGTGACCCCTATTTATACAACTTTGCATTTACTCTTGACCACACAAAACTAATGGTGCAATCTCAGTCATCCAAAACTGTCATCAAAATCCTAAACGTCCAAAAAATCAAACAAATAACTCTACCGAAAATTTCACTTAGGTTGAAATTTTCGGTATCAACTGGTAAATTTCAAATTTCTAGAATTTATCGAAACATCCTAGAAGTTCAAAATTTCCAGTATACTGAAAATTCTTATTATACTATTGGAAATTTCGATCACCAAAAATTTCATTTAGTTTATCAAAAATTTTGAACGAAAATTCAGACACATTTTTAATCAAGGGCTATGTTAGGAATATGAAAGTATAGAGAATGTGAGGTATAATTTGAGGGGTGGTAAGTTAAAATCTATCTAGCTGGATAAATTTTCATTTTTCTAGCTACCGTTGTTGCAAGCCCAACATAGCATCTATCAGCGTTATATTCCTTTAGTCGTTGGTGTCATCAAGCAGCTTCCTTCATAAGATATCTATCTATATTGATCATCAACTAGCTTCGCTATATTATCTTTATCCCCTTAGAAATTAATCTATTGCATTATTGGAATATAACATTGAAATTTACATTTTCAAAAGCTCTAGACACTCCTTTATTAAAATCTGAAAATCCTTCTCACCTTAAGCATCTACTCCTTACCATAGTATTGTTTTCCATGTTTCATATGTTGAAAGAAAATTGCAAACAGGCCATAACTGATAAAATATAATAGATTGACCTCTAGGAATTGCGTGCCTAATCAAAGATTAATGCAGTAATACATCCATTTATTTTCTTTTTTTATGCAACAATAATATACCAACTTTGAGAACAAAAGCCTTTGACAAGTACATGGAATTCAACCACATGTTTTACACTAACAGTAGATTGAATTCCCATAATATGAACAACAATACTGCCATTTATGTATGCATTGCACAAATATTCGGACATCGAGTTAATGCAAGAAAGTTTGGAGACAAACCAGGGGTTGCGAGAAGTTATTACCAACCCTGCAAATATATAGATAAATACATAGGGAAATAGTGCACTAGCAAGTTAAACTCATGACAGCAACGCATCTTATACAAAGTAACATGATGCACTCAAATCATCCCAGAGCTGCAAATACCATTAGAGATAGCTGAACTCCATCACAAAGCAAATCAGAAAATATAGTCGGGCAGCCGAAGAGGGAAACGTGCAACTGTAGCTAGGAATGGATCTCCTCTTGGGTCTACCAATCTGAAATAAGACAAACAAAAACAATAAACATTAGATCATCAAGTCATCCACAACAGCAATTGAACTTATTTAGTGTGAAAAGCATCGAGTGTGAAATTCACACCCCATACCATCCTTGGAAAGATTAAGGTTTGAATAGTGTGCATATCTCAAATGTTACATTTATTTACATTGAATCCACGACATCGCCAGCCAAGATAAATTCTCACCCATAAACGAAAGGAAGAAAAAAGACATGGATTTAATGATACTAAATACTGCCAATAACTAGTAATGAAATCCTGCTTATCAAGCGATACTAACCCTAGTAGTTGACTTGACACCTTATGAGTGTCGAAACATCATCGACCACAATCTTGTTTAACGTGAAAAACACCATTAAAGCACATACTTCAAAGTTTGGAAAATCTCATGCTCCCCAATTCAATCCACCACTCATAACCAACTTACCCAGCCGTCCCGAAGTCCCTAACAAACAGCTATATGGAATTTTCTTCCCGCGAAACTTTAATTTCATCCCAAGAGTTCAACCAGGTATCTTCACCCCCTACCCACCCATGGCTCAACAACTACGTGTAGACAATTTTTTAGTAAGCCTTAAAAAAACAGTTCATGCATCAGACAAAAAGAGAATTACTCATCTCAGAATATGCAACTGTATTCTGTTTTTCATTGATGGTAAGAAAACAGTTACAAGAGTTCATATAGGAGTTACTATCCTACACTCAACAACAAGGGGTTAACATACACCCTGGTAACTAACTCTAACAGAATACTAACTAACTCTAACAGACTCGAGTTTATGGCTTTCACGTCACAGTTAAAGTAGCAAGCTAATTATTACTATTACACATATGCATGTCATAGAAAATTCTTAAAACCCCAACACATAGACTTCTATGTTGTCTAACTAAACAAAGATAATGAAATCAAGCTATGAAGCACGGACACCGTTATGATTAGGCGTGTCACGGTGTCACACATCGGTGTCTGACACTTGTTGGAAAAGTCAAACAGTGTTGGAAAAGTGAGACAATGTCCCCAAAAAAATAGTTTTTTCTTTGCTTTGACACCCTTTGAATTGGTGTCTATATTGTCTAACTAATCAAAGATAATGAAATCAAGCTATGAAGCACGAACACCGCTATTAATAGGCATGCCGCGGTGTATGACACGCATCGGTATCCGACACTTGTATGACACACATACAAGACGTGTTGGAAAAGTCAAACTAGTTTTTTCTTTGCTTTGACACCCTTTGAATCAGTGTCTAACACGCGTATGACACTCATATAACAAACTCATACCACAAACTCATACAACAAGTGTCGGACAATTCATATAAGTGTTTCAAAACTATTTGTTTTTTTATTTATTTCAACACATCCTAGACATCTATTTTTCTTTTGACAAATCTCACACGCATCTAAGAGAGTTAAACATATATTGAATCAATGTTATCAATGAAGAATTAAAGTCATTAATTTTGACCAGGATATTTTTAACTTTTAATAATAAATGGATAAATGAAACTCAATTACTATTATCACAGATGTGGTGGTGTCGGTATCCTATACTTTTGACATTATCGGTGTCGGAGTGCTGTGTCCGTGTCGAAATCCATGTCCGTGTCGTGTCACAGTGTCCGTGTCGATGTCCATGCTTCATAGAAATCAAGTGGGAATGCCAACGGTGATAACGATAAAAGAAAAGCATACCTTCCAGGTACAAAGGTAAAGGAACCTTCAATGGAACCTGATGATGTTGGTAGAGATGCGCAACTCTGATAAACAAATTCTTTATCACCGGGCCGCAAAAGTGGGTACTGCAAAGACATTTATAAAAAGTCAGTAGTTTTACTACTTTATTCAACTATAAATACTTGCATTCAAAAAGATGAAGACAGTTTTCTTTGTTATCTAATAAAAGTTGTTAAGACGCACTTCCATAACAACAAATAGTAGACCTTAACTCTTTAGAAACTAGAACCACCAAATAATCAGTACAATGTTTATGAGCCTTGCAAGGTTGAACTTGAGGAAGACTCGTCTGCTAGCAAGCTATGAATCACCAATTCAACTGAGCTATTATTGAAGACAGTCAATCAATAATACATGCACCAAACATCAAAGCTCAAGAATTTTACGAGTCTTAGGGTTGCAATATCAGCTCGTAGCAACTAGCAAGGCAACTATAGAGTGCCATTGCGTAATTTTCTAGATATCTTAAAAATGATTCCCAGTTGGAAGAGAAAGTTAAATTTCTGATTGTATAACTCAACAGAACAGAATACAAGCAATTTTTTCACTAGAATCCAGCAATAAGAACTTGATCAGTTAGAATGAACTTGGATCAACTTTTTCATTTAAATTTTGATCTTAAAATGTGTAAAATCCAAGAGAAGCCAATGCAACTAAGTTAATGCCCAAGCATCGGGGACCAACATAGTTAATATCTTGCTAGACATTTAAAGACAACTGATGCTGCTGAAATATACTAATTAGAAACTAATCCTGGAAGATAAACTATGATAGTCTAACATAAAATCAAAGATATTTTAAATAGGCAGTATCTATGAAGCACAGACTCCGACACAGACACCAAAACACAACACGACAGGGACACTCCGACACCGATAATATCAATGATAACATTGCTTCAATACAGCTTTATCTTTTTAGATGTGTGTGAGATTTGTCCAAAAAATGTATTAGTTGTGTTGAAGCACAAAAACAAATATTTTAAACACTTGTCTGAATTGTCCGACACGTATTGTATGAGTGTCATACGGGTGTCAGACATCAATTCAAAAAGTGTTGAAGCAAAGAAAAGAAACATTTTTTGGGACATTTGTTTGACTTTTCCAACACGAGTCGTACGAGTGTCACACCACAACACGCCTACTCCTAGAGGTGTTCGTACTTCATAGGAAAGTACAATATGAAAAATAAATACATTAAGTAAAAGGATATTTGAGGGAAAAGGGAACTTATACCACTCCTATAACAGCTTCTCCATCCATATCAGATACTACAACATCATTAGCATGAATGATCCAGTGCCTCCAATAAAGCTGGCAAGAGCGGTAGGTCATTCCATTGATCACGCATCCTTGAGATTGTAAGGACAAGCGGATGGAATAAGAAAATAGGTACTTCTCACGGTCATCTTGAAGATCAACCAACTCAGGGATAACCAACGCAGAGGCACGAACCTCAAGAAATAAAAAATACTTATAAGTTTTCACATGAAAATTAATCACAAATAAGCAATACGCATAAAAGTATCCAGTGGTCATGAGAAATTGGAATATCCCATGTAACGCCAAAAAGCAAAAATCACCAACTGTTCTCTATTCAATGCAGCAGATCTTAGAAACTTTGATACAATATAAATGGTAAAACTTTGATACAATAGAAACTTCGATACAATATGACTAAGAAAACTCCATCAGCATTATCGCCTAATTGTTCTTTTTCATGCCCTAGCAATCAAAGCTAATAGTGCAAGCACGAGGGTTAAAATATACACTCTCCTACCTGCACACCATTGGTTACAGCAGTTGAACAGAGAGGTGACTCTTCTGGGAAAAGATTAATGCTTCTGACATTTTCTTCTTCAATCAATTTGATAAAGCCGCGTTGTAAACGGCGACCATGTTCTTCTAACCACAGTAGCATGGCATCCTGTATCTTTTCGCTGTCCAACTCATGATGCAAACTAATCAAATCATGAGGAACACACGGAATCATATCTCTATTGGTAAGAAGATTCCTGGTACCAACATATAGTTGACCATTGGTACAGTTTAAGAAAAACAACTTCTCACTATAAGTAGACGAAGCAGCCACAAGAACATACTTAGATCTTCTTAAAAACCCTAAGTTCTGCGTAATTTGCTGAGTCTCTTGGATTACTTGACTAATAGGTAATAAATAAACATTCACCAAATGATCATAGAAGGAGTAACCTCCAATTATTCCCAAACTAGTACCAAAAGTGTTGGCATCAGGATCTAGCTTTTCAATTTCTTGCCCATTATGAAAACGGTAAAGAATCCTCGTAGGAAGAGGCAATTTAACATGTAACACATCCTCCAACTCTTGAATATCAGCTTCCGACGCACCTTGACAAAGAGTGTCCTTAGCTTCCGGAAAATTATCGGCGAGCCAGGTTTTTATATTGTCCCAACACCTTTTTACGCGCTTAACAAGAGGCCAAGGATACATAACAAAAGCTTCTCTCCATGTCTGATAAGCTTCCTGCACAACAAAAACACATATATCTACTTCAGATTGGATACGGTTCGACACCGATACGACACTGATTATCCTGGACAATTTGTCGTAAGTAAATTTAGCATACACAACACAAGATTTGTATATAATTATTAGAATTTGAAAACAAGAAGTGTAATTATTAGTAGCAATAGGTGAAATGAAGAAAAAAGAATAAGAAAGTGTGACCTTGAAGGAAGGGAGAGGGTTTCCGAGATGATCAATTGGTTGAGTGAGAGAAAGTTCAGTGGAGCAGATTTTGAACCAGAGAGAGTCATGGGAAGTGAAAGACCTAAACCTGTTGCTGACACAGGAAATTGTGGCAATGTCTTCGGGTTTTAGATTTTCCATAATCATCTGAATTGCTAAATCTCCAACCGATTCCAAATCCATCTTTTCTGATCAATCGCTCTTTCTTCGCCAAAATGTCTTACTCTCGCAACTACGCTCTGCTTCTCCTGTGCTAAATATTAATAAGGACTATTAAATAAAATGATGAATAATGGTTTTTTAGTGCTTGATTACTAAAATTAAAGATTGTTGTAAACTAAATCCTAGTATTAAATTTAGAAATGGAAGATAAAAAAAGTTTAGAAAGATTATAAGTAGAATTCAAACCGATCTAAATAAATACAGTAAATTGAATTAAAAAAATTGAAAATAGTAAAGAAAATGTAGTATTGAATAAGTTTGGATATTTCATAAAAATCATTGGATTTGGATTAGATTTTAGATTAATTTTTTAAAATCTAGAACCTGCGTAACTTCCTAAAGTATTTCAATGTGTTTAATAAGTTTTAGCTAAATATAAGTTTTGAAGCACTACGATATAGTAAGTTATAATTTATATAAAAAAAATCATGAAAAAAAGGTTCTGTATAGTATCACCATTAAACTTTTTAAAAATATTATATATTACAATATAACTTTCACGTTATTTGATTTATGAAAATAATGTTTAACTTTTTTACGATTGAAAATTATTAATGGATTTAAGATGGTTGAAAACAAGAGAGTTAAAAAAAAAAATTGTTTTATTGTAAAATTACAAGGTAATTTGCCTTGAAAATTTAGTTAAAAGTTTGTATATAAAAACTAAGTCTTTTTAATGTCTCTAATTCGAACCACGGTTATATATATAACCATCTTAGATTAATCCATACAGAATTTAGCTATAATTTTAAATGGAACACAACTTATGGAGAATGAAATTGATTCTCCTTAAATTAGTTGGCCTTAAAGCCGAATACGATATTTTCAAATAAATAAATCATTATTCTGAAACTATCAATTACATTTCATTTCTTTTTAGTGCAGTTTAATAGTTCAGTTAGAAGAATTCAATTTGGTTTAGTTTTTTATTATTTTTTTCAACCGTTATAATTATAAGTTAACGATAACAATTATTATATACTCCCTCCGTTTCAAATTATAAATTACTTTATCAAAAAAAATTATTTTAAATTATAAATTACCTTACATTTTTCAATGCATATTAATAATATTTTTCTAATATATTCTTAAGTATTTATTATTATTTATTCTTTTAACTTTTTTAATTTCTCTTTCGTGTGTGATTATGAGGGGCATTAGTGTAAAATCATTTATAATTTGTCTTTTCTATAAAATAATTATTAAGTTTCTTAATTCGTGTGAAATGGACAAAACGTCTTATAATTTGGGACGGAAGCAATATATATTTGCAGAACTTCCACAACATGAAGGAAAAATTACCTTGGTATCTACTTTGCCCTAAATTTCAACCAATGATTTACCATAACTTATTGAAACAATTAATGCAAGAAAAACAAGATTTAAGTTTTGGACGTGAACTTTGGAAATATCAAAAAGACCTTAAATGGATATTGGTGAACTCCTTTCCCTTTGAAACCAAAGTGAAGCAACTAAATGTATTATTTGTAGGTCCTGTTTTATAGGCCACATGAATTCACCAAATATCTCAGTTTTTGGGAAGAAGATTTAACTTGTTTGAAGTGGCTAACAAATCAAAAGGCTAATTCAGTTGTTTATGTCTCATTTAACGTGTTATTTTGTTTTGGGTCTTGTGTTTTGTTTTTGTGTAATACTCTATTACAACGTCTTATTTCTAAGTTAAGAGAATAGAATATTTGAGTTGTAATATTGTTCTATCATTCATACACTTTTGTAATTTTTCAAACACTTGGGAGATTGATTGACTGAAAGTGAGAAGGGTCTCAGATTCAAGGGGAGTCTTGAAAAAAAATGCATTGAACTAGGAAAGTTCAAATTAGACAAATTTGTACTTATGACTATAAATAGTGGATTTCCTTTCAATGGGTTAACGCTCTTCAGACGTAGATGGTTTTGCACCAAACTAGGTTACCAATTCTCGTGTTGTTTTATATTCTGCATTTATTCTACCAGTTATGCATTATACTTGTCGTACACATTGTTACAATATTATGCATGAAATATTGTCATTCGTAAAACATAATTTCAATTGGTATCAAAGCAGGTAACTAATTCTGGTAGGGTGAGCTCCACGGGTTCTACATATTCTATTCAAAATGAACAATGCTAAAAAAGGAGGATCTGTAAATCGACCACCTATTCGTGATGGCACAAACTATGATTACTGGAAAGCTTGCATGATTTCCTTTCTCAAGTTTATGGATAGTAAAACATGGAAAGTATTCATAAAATGTTAGACATTGTAAGACTCTACTCTACCCATTCGTATAATAATTTGAAAATACAAAAAATTACGAAAATACATCAGAGTTACACACGTAGGATGCCACATTCAAAAACATCATCATGAAGTATCAAATCACTTTATATCTCATTTATTAATAAAAACAAATAATTCGATTAAACAACGGAATTAAATCAATGGTTTGGCATTAAAGCCCCAATTACATCAACTCTCTACATAATATGTGGTTCAACAACATTAATAAAAATCAGATACGTAACAAACAACAAAGAACAAATAACATGAAAATATAACGAAATTCTCATCTTTCTCGTGTTACGTATCAGAGCGACTCCTAAGACTCGATCAAATAACAACATAAGTTTCAAGCACTACTTAAGTACCTGATCGTCTATACTCTCCAAGGAGCACAGACACAACAAACATAAAAGGGGTGAGAACAACATTCAATAATACACGGTGAAAATCACATGATAAGGAGTAGTTAACACACAAATCATACAAGTACAACGCACATACAAGTGCCACATCATCATTCGGCATAACCAGCCTACAGTCAATCATAGACATATGCAATGCGACTCAACTGACACGACCTAGTGCATGCGGTACCAACACAATCACATACGGTTCACTCTAGAACTCGATTCTCGTCGGAATCTAGATAATCCGTATACATTCCTCTAAACTACAACTTATCTCCACTCGACTCCCACACAGAGTCCGGACAAGACTAGGCACCCATCATGGATTTCCACCTAACTCATCTCCACATAACATGACATGAATTCCTGACACAAAATTATGCACAACATAATAATTTTTCAAGCATAATTCATGATCCTCAATGATCCCACGTGAGTCATATAACCACCATAATTCCTTCTGGAATTACCACCACAGCCAAAGATTATCCACATACGACCATCTTGGCTCACAAACATCCAACTCGTCTCAACCAGACAATCTCATAAAATTCCATGTTTTATCCTATTTAATGTCATTACTAGTTTTCTCTCTGTTCAATTATACAATCTCATTCTTATGGATCAAAAGAAATTACATTACACACGAAATCGGGATAGAAATCGCAAAAACGGGAAAAATTCACTACAGCTCTGCCCATACGCGTATGGCCCTGTTCCATATGCGTACGACCTTCTCCCTACGCCTCAGGCTTGTGTATCATACGCGTAGGGCCTCCCTGCTCAGGCCTCATACGCGTATTTCCTTGGTCTGTACGTATATCAGCATATAGTGATTCCTCTTTCAGATCTTCTCCAAAACCTCTCATACGCGTATGACCACTCTCTCATACGCGTATCTTACGCGTTTCAGCAGAGGGCCATGTTGGAAGGGGCACGAGATGCATATCATACGCGTATTGCCCCTTGGGTGTGTCCCCATACGCAAAATGTCTTGTGCCTTACGCATATTGCCTTGCCTGCACACAAAAATGCACAGTTTTGCAACAATGTGGTTTTCCCCCAATGAAGCACTTCCAAGCTCCTAAATCAGACCCAAAACAACTTTTATCTCAGTATAATCTTAGAGTTCTAATTCTACTTTATTATTTCATCATTTGTCAAAATTTTCTGTCATTATAACCCATTTTCGTTTACCCCACAAACCCCAATTTCCACATCTGTTTTCATATCAGAACCCAACAACGATAGAACAGCAGTAACACAAATTTACCATTCTAAATCAGCATGCAACAAAGATTCACATCAGAACAGTATATAGACACGAATTCACAGCAAATATCACACAAGCATACAAACAGTTCAAGAAGAAGGAAATCACAAAAAAATTCTAAGAGGAAAAGGAACTCTAACTACCCTCTCATGTTCAGATCACCCTTAAAAATCTCATTCTCCCCCTTACCTTAATTCTGAGCTTTAATCATTCAAAAATGGTGGAAATCCCCTTTTGCCATAGTTATCCCTTGTTCTTTCTCTTGTTCTCTTTTCACGTTAGCGGATTTCCTCTGTTAACCTCCCACTAATCTTTCATATTTGTTTGATCTCCCTTAATTAATCCCCTCATAATATTAATAATAATAATAATAATCATAATAATAACAATAATAATAATAATCATAATAATAATGGTAATAATAATAACAATAATAATAATAATAATAATAATAATAATATTTTTCCCACTCATTATTAATTAGTTATCATTATCATATTATTCTAAGGTTTTATTCGCGTTACTCAAAGGCTAATTTCTCACACACTCTCTTAACCATGTACCCTAATTAATTCAATAAAATCACAAACAACACACAATGACTAAATATTTTAAATGGGGTGTTACAAATACCTCCAAAGGTTAGAGCTGAAGATGGAATAGAATCCTTGAAGCATGGTCGATGAAGAAGCACATGATAACTCTCGTGCCACTACTACAAAAAGTGTACACAACGAAGCCCGTTTTACCATGGTTCTTTGAAGGACCATGACGTTATCTCTAAAATTAAGCGCCATCATTTGTATTTACTTGTAATTAAAAATAGTTTGCATATTACCACAGTTGTATAGAGAAATCATGGTGAAAGTTCCTAGAGTTCACGAGTTCAAATCTCAGTGCTAACAACTTTGTGATCTCTTTAATATTATAGTGACACATTTCTTTTTGATTTATTTTAAAATTAAATATAAACTTGATTTCACTATGGTTGATTATT